CACGTGAAAATGAGACACTCCTCATAAAATATTATTAAAAAGTAAATGAAAGATTAAAAAATTAAAAATTTGTGTAGTTAACTTTAAAACATTTAAATAATTAAATAAAATTAATTAAAGTGTAATAATAATTAAAAAACTAGTTAAAAATAAAAAGTAAAAAATAATAATAAAAAGAATATCTCTTTTATTAATAAAATTATAGAATTATAAGTTATTGATATACACACAAAACCATTATTTTGAATTCTCTGATGATTCCAAGTACAATTTTGATGAATGGTCTAAAAAATGGCGTCATATTGGTCAAACCAATCGGCCATGATCCTACCCTAGATACATCAGATACCTATAAATGGAGAAAGGAGAAGGGTTTCAAATTGCAATTGCAGTGTATTGCAAAATAGCTAGCAAAAATGGACTTTCTCCTAAATTGCCTAAACCTAAACACTACCACTAGTGCCATTGCATTCCTTTCTCTAATCTTGTTATTTTTGTTTGTATGGAAAAAATCTCAAGGTAAAGAAGCTCCACTAGTTGCAGGTGCATGGCCAATACTAGGTCACCTCAAATTGTTGAATAGTTCACAAACACCCCATAAAACGTTGGGTGATTTGGCTGATAAGTATGGACCCTTATTCACCATCAAGCTCGGTGTCAAACCCGCTTTGGTTCTCAGCAACTGGGAAATGGCGAAGGAATTGTTCACCAAAAACGACCTTGCCGTTTCCTCTCGCCCTAAACTCGTTGCCGTTGAACTCATGTCGTACAACCAAGCATTTGTTGGTTTGGCACCGTACGGGACATATTGGCGCGAGTTACGTAAAATAGTTACGTTCGAGTTTCTCTCCAATCGCCGAATCGAGCAACTGAGCCACGTTCGTGTCTCCGAGGTTCAAACCTCGATCAAGGAGCTTTACGATGTTTGGTGCAGAGAAAAGAACGAGGGTAACTACGTGTCGGTGGAAATGAAACAATGGTTGTCACATTTGACTTTCAACATGGTTGTGCGAATGGTGGTTGGGAAGAGGTATTTCGGGGTAACCCATGTGGAAGGGAAAG